TGAGGCCCTGAAGGCCCGGGCGGGTATAAATTGTACAAACTAGCAAAAAAACGACTCGTGTTACATGATCAATTTTAGGTTAAGGCCCAAATATAACATTTATGGAAGGCCTGGACAAATATAGCCACTTACCCGCCCTGCCAGTCTGCCCCTGATGATATAGGTATAATACTGAACGTTTTACAATTTCAGTGATTTTCACAAGTGGCTATACACAGGGCCGGATTGTGGTCTAAGCCTGCGAAAACATTTGAAGAATGGCAAATTTATTGTACTGAACAAAAATTAAATATATTTTATTTATTATAATTTTATGTAGATCACGTATAAAAAATGTTTCGGGTTTCGGATGTTTCTATAAATTTCTCTTTACCATTATCATCCTGCTAAAAATTGACGATATTGTAAATATAATGATAGCATAATAAAAATATATTATCTATTAACGATTTAGAATAGCCCAGGGATTCCAAAACTGTAAGGCACGTTTCCCTTGGGAGACGCAAGACAAATATTTATATTGTATGTTGCACTCTCATTTATTTATTTTAAAGATCTACTCGTACAATAGTTTGCTTGTACAGTAAAATATCGATAAGAATAAATCATTTGGGACCATGGTATTTTTCTGTGTTAACGGGGTTTGCGTCTTAATAGGGTTAGGTACAAAGTATGGGGTTACGTAATTATATGTAATTTGAAACGGGACCAAAAAAATTAAGTTCCGTCTTATCGAGGTTATACCGTATTTAAAAAATAGAAAAAAATTTTACTAGAAGGCGAAATTAATTTTTTTCTGTTTAGAAGATGCGTGACCAAAAAAGGTTTGGGAACCGCTGGTATAACCTATAGGAAAAGTTAATATACTTTATCCAAATATTTCTCATTTAATAAAAAAAAAGCGTTATATCCGCCAAGGGCCCATTATTGTTTGATATCCGTTGTGGTTCCGGGGCCATGGCCCTCTCTAACACCCTTAATCCGGGCTTGTTCAAGTGTATAATTGTTATCTATATTTATTCGTAAAATATCGGCAATCATTATACTAATAATATAATAAGTGTGCGTTGTCGTAAACGTTGGCAATGTTATATCAAAAAAAATTTGAATATTTTATTTGTGATGCTGTTAATAAACTTTATTTGAATAATTATTAATTAATCAAATTTTTTTTATTATTTTATTTTCAATATTTTAAAGCAAATTTTTAGTAATTCAAATTTGCCTTTCTTGCATAGTAGAAAAGGATAGAGATATAGGATGGAAGAGAGACAAAAATTATATTGACGCCTAGAGCGGCACTTATATTAAATCCCTGCCTATACGGCACCAATTACTGTCTTTAGTGTCCAATTTCTATGTACTAATTCATCTAAGATACAAGTTCTTTGCAAAAACATTATTGATCGCACGTGAACACACACAGAAGAAAGTTATCGGTATTCAGATTTTGACAATGACGTTAAGGTTAAAACCACAGGATATTATAACACGTCGTGCTTTCCAACTGGTTTCGTCAAACAAGCGCATATAATGTACTTCATATCTGTATTTTTTTTGGTAAGTAAAATAAATACAGAACCGGGTGTTGGAAATTTATTCACATCGGTATTGCACCTAAAGCCTACATATTCTGGTTGTTATTATTAAAAGCTATTAATGGCGAGTTCGAGAAGGCAACTATTTACCTCTTATTTTCTTCAGACTATAATTTAGAGAATATGTTTGACGGTGATATTATTAACAATTCTTATATATGAGTTTTGAATTTATGAAAACAAATCAAAAAATAAAAGTTTTAAAGATATTTATTAATCATTAATCACTCTTCTCCCATTCCCTTGGTTAATATTCAAAACTAGTTCCGAAATTGCGATTTACCCAAAAAAAAAGTTAACGTTTTTTTAAATATAGACTTAACTCGTTTTAAACGTTACCGGTTCTGTCGAAGACCAACCTTTCTAAAGTTCTTAAGTACCATTAGTGTACAATTTTCACTGTCGGTGGGGTCTCTTGAAATTTTTAATGTTTTTCTGAACCAAAAATTTTTAACTGAAACAGAAACGCAAGTTATAAAACTTTTAATAGTTCTGGAACAGTGCCGTAGTGTACAGCGGAGTCATCTAATACTAGGATTGAAATATGAATAATCGTTTAATAAAAAAAAATAATAGTAATAAAAGCGAGAAAAAACTGTTAATCTCAAATAATTACTTTTGTTTAATTTTTATTTTTATTTTCGCATGCACGAGTGGATCAATTAATTATCCAAAATTTTGGTTTTGGAACTCAATAAATTGAATATAAACCGATTTGGAGATGATTTCTATTGAATTTTTTACTTTTACTACTTTCAATAGTTTTTCCAAGTAAGCACCAAATCGTTTTTTTTAAATTTTTTCTGGTATATGATACTTTACACTGGACATACGCTTTAATTATTTACGACAAAACATTTTATATTAAAAATTATCATACCAGTACAACACCGATCTATTCATATTTATGCAATTGCCTGTATATACATATATATATACTGTAATATCAACTGTTTTATTTTCTGCAGATTTTTTCTTCATTTTTCAATTGTAACACCAATGCAGAAAAAACATGATTTTAGTAGTAGTCAGAAAGCCGTAGCGAAACGATCGCGGAAGAAGTCTCGAGAAGTTTAAATATTATCATTTCATGTGCGATGATTGAAAAAGAGATTTTGTGGACACTGTAATAAACAAAATGTATTACACCATATGTTTTCTTGTTGATATTTTCTGCGTGAGCTACATTATGGAAAAGCAGGCAAACACGGTGTTTCCCTCTATATAGTTGGCAATGAACCGGCACATGGAAATTGAGAAAATAAAATTATTACGTTCATAATAAATGGGATCGGGAACTGTATAGGTAAATCGTCTTTGTACTATACGTATTAAATGTAACGGAACACACAAATGCGATATTATGTTCTTGTGTGAAATATTTAATAAAGGATTTATAAAAAAAAAAAAATAACAATTTTGACGAGTTCTCGTCGTTCCGCATGATTTCTCTGGTCGTTGTAGTGATACTCGCGTACAATATTTTATGTTATAATAAATTATAAGTAAAAATATCGTGCCGAGGTATTGAATATAGGTACCTATAATACAATAATACTCACTCGTTATGTGTTGAAGGAAGTATGAACTAGAGTAACGGATAAGGTGAAGAGCACAAATGTACATGCATATTACTTTATTTTTTAAAAGTTTTTTTATTAATCAATAACGAAAAAAAAATTAAAACAAAGAGAAAAATATAATATTAAAACCATAACATAATAATATTTTAAAAATATACTAACACTAAAACTGTAAAATATTATATAATATACATATATTATATATAATATTTATGTCGTCTTTACAAATAAATTATGTTTAAATAATAAAAATAAAAAATATGTATTATACTGTACTATTTCAAATAACTATAAAAATACAATATCTTATCAATAATAAAATTATATTTTATTATATTTTAGACTAGAAAAAACTACTAAATAGGTAAAAAAAATTATACTTTAAATTAATATTAAAAAAAAAAAAAAAAAAAAAAACGTACAAAATTGTATTATTGTACAACACGTACAAAAAAATTATATGTATTCTATTTACAAAATAAACTTCAAACTTTATTGAGTCAAAGGCAGTTTACCAATTATCTTACGCAAATATGTAACTTTTTATTAATAGTAAAAAATAATTTTTAAAAAAATAGTATTTATAAAGGACAATATTTATATTTTTACGAAAGGCCGAAAAGAAACAAAACGGTTAATGTTTATATTATATTTTAGAGAACATATATATATATACATATATATATATTTAAAATTTACATTTATATAACGGCCGGTAACATTAAACCGATATAATAAATTAGGAATTTCGTTAGGTAACTATTTTTTTCTTTTATTTATAATAAAAAATTTGGCATGGCGTGGTTCTAGCTATAGGGCCTAGTTTGCTTTACACAGGTAACTCATTTGTTAATATTGGTTTACTTTTTCTGGTATGAAAATAACGATAGTTATTATTATTAGTATTATATAGGCACTTCGACATCACAGTGTTTCACAGTTGGAAGAATTTTTTAGAATATTATAGTTAAAAAAAAATTAAAAAAACACACACAAGAGAAAATATATAAGAAAAAAAAAACTTTACCAATTTGGCAGTTATTAAAAACTTTTTAAACCAATATAATACAACTTTTTTTTAATTATTTTACAGATTGGGGAAAGAGCACGTTCGAGAAAGTCTTTGGATTTCGCAATACCCGAAATAGGAAAAATAAATAGATAAACGAACCAAACAAAATGTTAGAAAAAAAATACTAACGTCATACTTGGACATGAATCGTGTTATAATATATAACAGCGAACGAAAGTGTTCGTCTCCGATCAGATTCACTGTCGATCCGAATTTGTATACAATGATTTAAGTACAGTAACAAAAAGTCGCAACCGATTTTCATAATTGTATATAAATATACAATATAAATGAGCCCACGTGCGCGTAAAAAATGTTTTAAAAGTTATGTAGGTGGTATGCAATGTAATTTCTTTTTATCGATTAAATTTGATCAAATTCACGAATATGTCACGTCTTCTCGAGAACCGTTATTATATATCATGATATGATTAATCTATTAATACGCATCCAAACAGACGTTGTAAAACAGCAAGAAACGGCATAGAAACTACACTTTAGTCGATTTGTCCGCTTCGATCTAATATTTATATCATCTCGTTTATCTAATTCATATATTATATACAAAAAAATCAAGAGAGAATACAAAATGAACAATAATCTCCGAAACAATAGGTAATAAAAATTGAACACTCGTGGCGTATGCATATATCTATACAAACCTAAAAGGAGGGAGAGGGAAATAAAATATAATGCTGCGCGTTTTAAAATGATAATAAAATAAAATATTTGTATAGATAAAAATGATTTTGTACGAGTAGAAAAACAAATAAATAGTTTTTTTTCCAACTAATCTATATATGACTTATAAAAATATATATTGTCAAGAGGACTCGTGTAAAATCGGCAATTTTCAATGCTATATTGATGGTAAATGTAACTCGAAAAAATGATACGTAAACAAAAATAATATATTATTATAATTTATTCGTTAAGTAGTATAGCTTGGCGTTTGAGCGCAGTTAATATTTGTAATTTTGTATCATTATCTAACACATTAATGTACAATGTACAAAACGCACATAGTAAATAGGATTATATTAATATTTAATATATTATGTCATATTATTTATACGTGAGCTCCCGACGAGACATTTAAATAAACGAATTTTACGAACAATAACAATGATAACATTCTAAATAATAATAATAATAATTATAATAATAAAAAACAGGTCGGAAAACGACCCTGTCTAATACCAAAAAAGGTGAGAGAGGAGATGATATTGAACCGAATTCCGTTGATGCCAATTTCTCGAAACCTGCAAACAAATATATCACGTGAGATTTATTAAAACGCATTGTTTGAGTCTAGACTAGTATATACCTATGATATTACGTAGTGGCTGTATTACTTAAATGATCGCGAACGGCGGTGACGGGCGTATACAATCTACGAACGGAATCGCATAATATGTATGTTAAAATAATAATATCGAAAACGCCAGGACGACAACGGCGTTCACATATGCGTGTGAAAACACGTTCAACAAGTAGGTGGTGGTAGCGTATCGAGACAACCGCGTGCTATTACCACTCGCGAATGCGGTATACACACACACACCTTATACTTATATAATAATTTGAACACATATACTATTCCATTATTATTATTATATTTTACGTTCTATTATATTATTCGGAAGCGGTTAATAGTAAAACGTTGATGTATAAAGAAACACCATATGAATTATATTGGACCCGCGGGGTGTGTACGTATGGGTATTAGGCGAAAGTATATTGTGTTCCGTGTGCACGTGTATGTGTGCTTTTACGATTTTTAATCGCACGCAGTCGCCCCTGCACGGATAAGAACGAGGAGGCGGTAACGTGTGTGTGGGAAAATGTTCGAGGACTGATAACCTGCTCGAGCGAGGGGTGCGCGCTCATAACACATCGTAGGTATACACTTTTAGCCGGGCACGATGTAGGGGGTCCATGGGAATTTCGGACATAAAAAAAAAAAAATGAGAAAAAACAAGGGGTGACAACACAAAAGTGCATGATTATGCATGCAGCGCTAACACAATATAATAGTAACAGGTTAAGGTTTATGTACACAAAGAAATCGTTCAACTAGGTCGGAAGTATAGGTACCACTACTACTATTATTATTATTATTTTCAAGGGGAGAGGGAGCAGTCGAACACCTGATCGATTGTGATGTATTAAATTTTATTTCGAAACAATATAAAAAGCTTGAAGACCATGCATTTTTGTACTCGGAGATAATATTTACAAAAGCGATGTCTTCCGTTTTTTCGGATGATTTTTAGCAATTCTTGTCGATCCCAAAAATATAAAATTGTAGAATAATCGTGGGCGCACGGATAACATGAAAACACGGTAAATATAATATTATAAATACTACTCATATCGTTCCGAGTACAGTATGAGACGTGTCAGCATTTGAATGTCGACGATGAAAACAGCATTGAACGTATTTTACACACGTTTTTCGTCATTGTTACTTTTCCAATTTTTTTAAAAAAAAAAAAAAAAAAATAAACGCCGCGAGCGCATTAAAAAAAATACGGTCCGGAAGAAGACCAAAACCCAAGTGCGCACGTCGCCCAATCGTTCCACTAGCCGATCGTACAAATCGTACCAATCATACGGTGTACAAACGTAACAGAATGCAAACACGGACGAAATAATATTATTACGTTATCGTCGTATTGTCCACGGACCGGCGGCGGGCGTTGAAAACTCGGTGAATTTTCGAGTGCACCCAATGTTTCGTAATGCGCTGGGAACAGCGTTATTTTGTATTATTATTATTATTATGTAACGACGACAGCGAGCAGCCGTTTTCCATCTCGCGCGCATAATAATAATAATAATAATAACAACAATATATAATGTACACTCGACCCAGAAACACGCGCGCACGCATGTCGCAGAGAGAAGACAATGGTCGCGTACAATACACGTATATACGTGCGACAGTGGTCATTTTTACGGTTTAATAATATCGTTATGTGACCGGCGTGCGTGTGCGCGCGCATAAATGTATGTTTGTCCCGGGAGATCGGCCGAGTACGAAACATATAATTAATTTATAAGTTTCCGACCGTCGCGCGGTTCCGCGACATTGCGCACCGCTTACTCGTTAAGAACACGGCGGTCAAAGGTCGATGATTGTCAGGACGCCGGTAGAGCCGAACGCGAACGGTCAAGCAATAGTAGGCGAACGCGCGCGCATTTGCGTACCCACTGTGTACACGCACGGCGGACATTGTGAGGTGTGCGCGTTGAGTGTAGTGCACGCGCTCTTTTCCGCGGTTATCGACGCCGCCCACTACCCGCACGATCGAAAAACGGCGCCAAAACACGTAACACCCCCGCCGACCACTGTACCGCCCGAAAAGAGTTTACGATTGTAATATTATTGGTTTTGTTTTTTTATAATACACACGCGCGCGGAGATAATTCGCCGAGGAAGCAGATGTTGAACTCACTTCGAGAGATTCGTGTTTGACTTTCCGTTGCGAATTCTAAATCCCCCCCCCTCACACATCCATCACTTATCGCGCTGCGACCGCGGAACAGGCCTATTATAAAACGTATATACATATGTGGCTTATCATGTACACTCATATACATACATATATATATACATCACACGTTATATCACAGTTTTTTTTTTCTATGAAGATTTGTTTAATATTATAATAATTGTTAGTTTTGGTTTATGGCCAGAGTTATAGGTCAAGGCGGGACTTGACGTAACTCATCATTGAATCGATGATACGAAACCTATATATTCACTCGGACTTTTTTTCTGATAACAAGTGCTGATTTAGTGTGTGTGTGGTGTATATTTTATAAACAAAATTTACAATATTATGGTTTTCAGTCCATCAATTTACTATCGTATTGTCCTATTATACGGGTCTGCACGCCACACGGACTGTATTATTGCACGACCCGCAACACACGACGAAACGAAAATGCGCATGGAGCGTGCCCGTTCAAATGTTACGCTTTTGCAAAATAGGAAATACGCATCAACTTCGAAATATTTACTGGATTCGACCGATGTAGGTACTTCCGAGTTCAAAGGACACGAACGCTACGTTCACCCACCCGCGTCTAACCACGAGAAAATCCGAATGGTTATTATTCAATGTATACATGTCATGAATCGAGTAGTTATTTTGCGTGATTTCACGAGTCGCCTTCTTATAGCTTCTTTCCCTAACCATGCGTTGGAATATAATAAAATAATACACGATATTTTAAATTCAAATAATATGTGTATACTACATAAACAGGTGGTTTCCTTGTGAAAAGTCTTCACTTGATCAACGCATAAGATGTCAGACTATTGACGAGTGGATTTCATGCTAAGCATTTCGGTTTACCGAATCGATTAAAAAAATGACGAGAGATCGAAAGTTTAATGTGCGAAATGAGAGAGAGAGGGAAAGAGGATATTTTGACGAGTGCTTAGGTACATATTAATAAACACAGGTAGATAATATGAAAATAGATATGAAAATATTTACCAAACGCACGATTCACTGCAAGTGTGGATAGGCGTCAAAGTGTTTGTTGAGCTCCCTGTGCAGGTGCTCGGGCAGAACGCCCACGTTGGTGAACAGCGAACGGAGCACGTTTAGTTCCTCGCTGAGCAGTTCTATCCTCTTCTGCAGCCGCTCGTTCTCTTTGACCAACAGCTTGACTTTCTCCTCTGTCTCGCGACTGCGGATCTTCGCCTTTTCCCGGCTCTTGCGCACCGCTATGTTGTTCCGTTCACGTCTCCTCTTGTACTCGTCCGTGTTCTTATCCACCGATTTGTTCGACCCGGAACTCGACTTCCGGTGGTGGTTGTGATGGGCCTTTAAGTGAGGACCGCCACCGCCGCCGTTGGACACGGGAGACGTCTGGAACGCGCCACCCTGACCATTGCTAAGGTACTGCTGCTGTTGCTGCTGCTGCTGCTGCTGCTGTTGCTGTTGCTGCTGGTTCCTGAACTCCACGGACTCTGGTGGTTCCTCCTTGATGGGGCCACCCGCGGTTGCCGGCGTGCTCTCGTAATGCACGGGCTGCGGCATGTACGCCAGCGTAGTGCGCGAGTTGAAACCGTTTTGGGACACGCCGTTGCGGCCGTTACCACCACCGGTGCCGTTGGGCAACTTGACTTGGCCCTGCTGCAGGATCTCCGTGAACAGTCCTTCGCTGAACTGACTGTCGTCGATGAGGTTCTGCAGGTCGAGCGATATCTCGGGCGTGGACAGTTCCGATATGTCGTACCTGTTCTTGAGCTGCCCGAGCTGCGCTTTCTTCGCGGCCATGGCCAGTTCCTGTTGGCTGAGCTGGTGGTGCGGTTGATGGGCGTGCGGCTGCGGCGCCGAGTCATACATCTGCGGCGAGTTCATGTCGATAGCGATTATCGTACAACGACCGCGTCGGTCGTTACAGGGATCGTGTGTGCGTGTACTACGCGATGTCAGACGTGCGATGTACAAGCGACGGTGGGCGCGTGATGAGCGTACGATGCGCCCCGAGCGCGCAACACTTACGGATTTCTGGCCGCGAGAGAAACGCCGTCGGCGACCACTTGTTGACGACGATGGTGTGCGTGCGCGACTCTATGCTGTAATGTCACCGCAAGAACGTGATGTTTGCGGGGGCCGAGTGACAGACGACTGCGAAAATCGAAACGATCATCGTCGTGTTCGTCATGTGTGCGAGCGTAACAATATATATAGTGTTTTATTTTTATTTTTACAAGCGAACTATATCAATGCAACGATGACGACGACGGAACTACGCACGGAAAGACTACACGCGTGGCAGTGGACGGAGACAATTTTTCTTTATGAAACTTTTACCACCGGCCGAGATGTGATTTCGCTAAAAACAACGCTAGGCAAATACCTCGTTAACACAGCGCACAGATATAATAAATTTTTTTTTTCTTTAAAAACACGTACGTACGAACAGTAAGCGGTACGTACGCGAAATATGTACTTCGAAAAAGGAAAAACAATAAAAAAAAATTAAAAAAAAAAAAAAAACAACAACAAAAACCGCGAAATAAATCGGCCGACGACTGTACTTGAGCGTGTTCGCACCTACCGGACGCGTGTTTAGCGTGCGACTACCCCGGCGCTGTTTCGGTACCAGTTGCACAGAGTAGTCGTAGTGGTCGCGTAGTAGTAGTAGTACGACGCGACCGCGTTGGCATACGCGCCGATTGAATTGCCGCCGCGCTCGTTGCCTCCTCCTCCTAGGTCGCGCTCCCCCTCCATCCACTGGTCCGTCACCGGTCCGCCCCTCAACGCGGACCGCAAACTCAATTGCCGTGCGTATGACGTCCGCGTCTTTCTCTCTCCTACTCTCTCTCACTCACTCACTCTCTCTCACTCACCGTCTCTCTTCGCGCTCGGACTTACCGCGCACGCATTATGTTAAATAATAATCATTGGGTTTTATTCCTTCCTTATATATTCTATATGAGGATTTTTTTTTTTCTTATTTCGTTTTTTTCATATTAATTTTCATCTCATTGCGTTCCGTCGTTATCGAGACACTACGCACATGTGTATAATATAATGTACATGTACTTTTTCTTTTATCAACCCACTCGTTTACAGTTGTTACGCATACGCGAAATATTCCCCGAACACGTTCATAGTAATTGTAATTACTGTATTGCAATTACTATTATCGTCATCGTCGTTTCGTCGCCAGACCTTAGTGTATTCATGTTGTTATTAACGTTTCTCGAGACGAGATTCATTCAAGCTTTTAAAAGTACGCGCGCGCGCAACGACATTCCTATGATTGATAAATGGAAAACAAACACTCCACGACTTCATGATACATGTATAAAATACGGGTGATTCGGTTACGGGACAACTGCTCTTTAAAATATCGCGCACGTGGACACTAAACTATCGCAAGTTGGTGTCGTCAGCTACAATTCGGTTCCGAACACCCTCGAGAACTCTGGTCTGGTCAAGTTTTGTAAACAATATAGGAACATATACATTATTATTATTCTGTGCGGATATTAAATAGAACGTTCTGTAGTTAATTTTTAATTTTTATTCATTATTTTTTGTCGTGGAATGTCTATTAAATTGTATTCTACTTATTTATTTTATATCACGAAACATTATTGAACAGTCCTATACATCAGAGATCCGATTGTTACGTAATTTTTCAACCAATATATGCATTTATAAATTCAAAATGTGTAAATGCGTATTAATAGCAGACATAATATGTGCACTAAAACATTGAAAATATGCATAAATCCTATATTTTTGCCAATTTGGCAGTAATATAGGTTTATTGCTGATTTAAATCTAAACTTGAATTAATGTAATAAAAAACATCTTCATACAGGCCATAATCTGGAGGAATAAGTTCAATGTCCAACACAAAGTCGGAGACAAAGCATGTACGACTGTATTTGATTGATTTGAATGTTTTATCAGTGGTCGAAATTATTCAAGATAAGTGGAGGGATGCCTTACAATTCAGATTTCCTGATATCATCATAACATTCTACACACCTTGTGTACCTTAAATATTTTATTTTTTTTTTTTATAGTTCACATAAGGTACATTATTTTAGTCCGTGGCTCTAAACACGGGTATAATACGGATTGCGAAACGTCTTATATTAAACAAAACGATAAGCCAAGCGCTCGGGCCTGAATGTTAAAAAAATTATTTTCACCGGAAAAAAAATAATTTCTTATATATAGATATAAAAATGATAATAAGTATATCATTTTAAAATACAAGTTTTAGGAAAAAAGCGTTATTCTAAACAAAACAGGTAGAGGGATGCCATCCCTCCGTATCCCCCCCACTTCGAACACTGTGTTTTAGAAAAGGATTTTTCTAAACTTTTACTTTTAACTCTACAATTTTTTACTTTTGAATACGGAATATATTTACACACGTACTTTTTTCAAATTTTTGTAAATTTTTAAGCTTTCAAATATAATAAATTAATTATGAAATGGGTATAGATATTGTTTTGATATGATATTCTATTGAATTTATTTTAGTTTCATGAAATAACAAATTTTCAAATAGATTAAACAATTTAACATTTACTTAATGTTTTATAAATAATTGAATGTTAAAAAATGTGTAAAAATGTATTTTATAGTAAATAATCTAAGACGGGGGTCTCCTACTTACGATCTGTTAAGCTTTTCTAACCAGCCTGCCATATTTCCTGATATTTTTTCAATACGAGTATTATTCCAAATCTGAAAAAACGTGCACGTGAAATTATATTAATATTTAGTTTCACTTATTTATATGAATAGACATTTTCAAAAATGAAGTACATAAAATCTAAGTATAGAACTAACTTAAGCGACAAACATTTACAAAAAACAATGTTGATTGGAACAATATTTGAAGAAAATTATCAAGAAATTTTAAAATAGAAGCAATTCTAAACTTCCCATTGAGTAAGTTACCTGTATTTTGTATAAATTTTGAATTATAAAAAAAAAAGTAAAAATATTCATCTATTGTTTCTGTCACTGCATTTTTTAATATAACATTGGATCTCTAGTCATGTCTAGCCCATTCCAAACGTTTGGCTCCTATATATGCATTTGTATTGAGCGTTCGGTATACTTGGTAAATTTGCTCATTGGTTCTAATTTTATATTCACCATTTTCCAAGATAGAGCCAAAGTCATGACGCCGTATTTTCCTTTCAAATTCATCAATTTTTCTACATCACCCTTCGCGACCGACCATGTTTCACATTCGTAAGATAAAACTGGATGGAGAGAGCTTAAATAAGGTATTGATTTGGATCTCATAGATTGTTGTTTGCGCTCAAGCAAACGCAGCACCACGCCTACGTCTTTGCGGTACGCAATTAAAATATAATAAATATGAAGATCTAAGACTCGCACGTCGTTTTCGGTTCGGTCAGGGTGTAGAGGGATGGTACTTCCTTTTATAATAATAATAATAACAAAAATAGAAAGATTACAATTAATTTTTTTATATAGTTGTGTATTACATTATAATAACATTTTAAATAATTGCATGTGGGCACCCTCACACTGATTGCAATAATAATAATTTAGCTTATAATAATGAACAAAATATGTGACAGTAAAATTACAATTAAAATAATAATAATAAGGGAGGCACAGCTTCCGTTACCCTGGTATACTCGAGTCCCGTTGGATTCTATCCCACGCGACCGTGGCTAATTCTCAACATGTGCGACGGAAACTTAAGTACACTGACGACCGGAAATGACGGAAAATCAAACAAACAGGGATAGATCCCGGAGATAAACCTCGTGGTCAGTGGCGAATCACAAAGAAAACTAAAAAAATACAATCCAACAAATGCAGCGGCTCAGCCACGAACGGGAGTCACTCGAAGATAGCACCGCTGATCTCGAAAATGTTTTCGACAACCTCAAAAAATATATCAATCCAATAAGATATCGTACCAGTTCCGGGCACTCCGAGATTAATTGTTGTGCATCTTGGACATAGTAATTTGAACTTAAATAATTTTTCCAGGACGAAATACCCGTTATTAGCTACTAATATTCTTAGTCTTATCATATCATGCATGTTGTTTTTATTATTTTTATTGGTTCCAAGATATTCAAAGTCTATCAGGGTGATATAAAATATAATATAAATAACTTATTTTTTCTAAAATTTATCGCAGGTCTTAAAACAAATAATTAAGTAATTAAGTAATAATTTAAATGCAACATTTTTAGTAAAACTTATTATTTTTTATAAAATTTAGAAAATTCATCCCGTTAGTTTTGTAAAAAAAAATGAGATATGAGTTTAAAAGCATGCTTGGAATTATTCTATATAACTTGTAATTATTTTCATACTCGACAATTATATAAAAAAAATTGTAAAATCAGTATTCAATTCAAAATATACACTCAAATTGTTATAGATTTAAAAAGAGGAAATTTTTACAAAAAAAACCACAATCAAATTTGTCCTGCGTACCTTTTATGATTTCCCCAAGTCATAAAAATAATTCTATACTGAATACCTTCGTATGCATATGGTTTTAATGAATACAAATTATTCTAAATCATGTGGTACATGATACAAAGACAATGTACAAGAGTAATAGTAGACGTTCCGGTCCCATGAAAATGTATACATTTGTTTCTTACAATGTCAATAACGTTGATCATTTCCGCATAAATGTATATGATGTGGAGTCAGAGATTAAGGAACCGACAATATTTTCATTTTTCAATAATCATATTAAAAACACATGTTAACAATATAAACTTTTTTCATTCCAAATCCACTTTACATATTTTAACGAATAATTCTAAGACAGTTAAATAATAATTTGGTACACATGTTATACATAGTGTACCAAATTATATTGTAAACATTTAGCAGTATAGCCTATAGATATAATATACTATGATAGATATATTATATGAAGTGTATTTATGAATAGTAAGAATAATTTCGCAATCGGTATCTTTTTTAATTTATCGCACCAGAATGAATAAAAATATAATTGAAATCGACTAGACATAAGAAATACAAACATATTTTTATATTTTACTAAGTATAGTATATATCCTACCATATTTATATTTATTGTTACTATACACATAATACATTATACATGTTTATTTATAGATTATCGGTAAATGCCTAATATTTAATATTAATAATAAAACGCTAATATTTATTTAAATAAAGAATATAAAATATTTGAATTTATTCAATGTTAAATATTACAAATGTGCCATTAGTATGTAATTAAAACCACTATTTTATTGAAGAGAAACACCACATGCCTAAACAAGACAAACTATGACTTGCGACCCCTTCGAATTAAAAAAAAAAACTTACTAACCACAATTATTATACCATTAATTATAATATCACGTGTACGTTTTAGAAAAATCCGTATCAAAATACATCACAAAGACTTTTCACTTCTTATTTTTTAAGGTGGTAGATTGGTGTTGTTATTTCATAATCACAAACTGCAATCAAAAGAAAAATACATTGCGAAACTCCATATGTTTACTTCGATAAATTGTGAACAGTAGATGTATAGGAATATAAAATGAAAAAAAAACGAGAAAAATAAAAATAAACGATTGAAATATTAACAATCATCACATCTGACATAATAAAACACCAATATTATATTATGTTCATAGTTTACATAGGGCAAAAACAGTCTATGTCTTCCTTTTTTATGCTTCCATTTTCTTATACAGTTATTAGAATAAATAATTTTAATTTAAATCGATTCTATTCTAGATAAAAGATAATAAAAGATAAGTTTAAATAGATAGTCTTCGGAAATACTTATTTCAATATTTGTTATTTAAACTAATGCATTTCGTTTTAATTTATAAATTTCAATAATGTTCAGAAAATAAACAAACTTTACTTTATTTGAAAATCATAAAAATACATTACACGTAATGTGTAAAATTAGACAAAATCTATTAATTTAAAAAAGTATGATAAAAAAATTTCGTTTTGATGGTAGAATAATATACGACTTTTGCACAATTTTGGAACCTTGGCTTAAGTAAAGTTTACCATACCCTTGCTACGCCACTGCACACGAGATACATTTTATCAAGCACCTAGGACATATTTTCTAATGTTGTTCATTATTAATAATTACTTACTAAGCAAAAAACACTAAACAGCTTATTATTAATAAGAATAAGATAATATAAAAAATGAATAGTAAGAAACTTTTAATAAATAAAATTTTTCCCAACCAAAATAACTTTAAGTAATTACAATAAATGTAAATATTTATGTATTGCAGTTATTATTAATTTTTATTTAAAAGTCATGTGTTATCAGTTATACACTCTGCACTAATGTAATGTCTCTATTCAACAATATTTTTTAATTTGGATGTTACATTACCACAGATGTATTCTCTCTTTCATTTTCATCTTACAAAGTATACTTGTGTGGTAGGGCACCACTTGAGTTAATCTTATTGTAACATATTTCTAACATACTAAAAAATTAACGACTTATCATATTCCTTAAAAAGAAACAACAATAATTTTTTTTAACTCAAAATTAAAATAAGAATTTTTAAAAATATAAAATAAAATAAATGAAATAAACATTTCAAGAATTAAGTAAACAAAAAAAAACAAATTATATTTTATTTTTTTATGTAAAATCATAAATATATAATTAATTGTGAAAAAAATTAATGCTTAAATATTATAATGTATTCCTTCATTTTTACTTTATAATATAAATATATATACTTTATACTTTATACTTTTAATATCAAACTAGGATTTAATTATAAAATTGTTTAATTGAATCTTAGTAGAGAATATAAAATGTCTAAAAATATAATACTATGACAACAGGGTTAACATAGTTTAATTTACGAGGCCTGATTATATAAATATAAATATATATATATATTATATAAATAAAGGGATTAAAATTATATTTATGTTAAAAATAATCAACAACTAAAACTTCTAATATGATTAACAAAGCATTTGAAGATGAAGCAATGAGTGTTCTAAAACATTTTAATGGCATAAAAGGTTTAGTGAAGGCATTAACGATGACTCTCATGTTGGATGACTTTTAACTTCAAGAAGTGTGAAAATAGTAGAAAAAGTATGATGAAAATGATTCAAAGTTACTTGTTGGTATGTAAAAAGTCCCCCGAGATCTAATGTTGCTAATACCTGAATGCTGAGTCTCTCCAATAAACGAGGCACGTCTATTTGCCCATTTAATAATCACAAGATAAAACGATAATTAAGAGTCTGATGTATATGGAATTAAATCAAGACAGAGAACATCTTTCATAGGTGATATAACATGAAGAACATGTTCATTAATTTATTTGATATTAAAAGCCTTATTTATTACGAATTTGTTTCAACTGGTCATACAGTTAATCAAAATTACAACATAGAAATTTTAATTACATTGCGAGAAAAAATCCGAAAAAAACATTCAGATAAGTACCAAAATTGATCGTGGTTGTTACAGCACGACAACGCACCTGCTCATTCTGCCTTATCAATCCTTGAGTTAGCTGATAAGCAAATTCCAGTTTTACCTCACCTCCCTTACTCATTGAAGCAATCCCATTGTGATTTTTTTTTCCAAAAATTAAAACTGATCTCAAAGGAAAAAGATTTGATGATAATAAAGCAATAAAAAAAAATACGGTGAATTAACTCAAACAACTTTAAGTTGAAGACTTCCAAAATTGTTGAAAAAATGTGGTAGGAGATATGAAACAAATGTAAAACATCGGGCCGTGAATACTTTGAAGGAGATTAATATCTGAATATTATTTGTTTATTTAAATTAATAAAAAAAAATCGCTGTATTTTTTTTATCACACGTCGTACATGTAATATTTAAAAAACATTTTCAATAAATTTGGATATTAAAACATACACGGAAAAAATATAGATATAAACATTTCAAATATGTGAATGGTATTGCATATCTACAATCCTTATATTAAATTAATTAAATATTTATTATTTTTTCAACAAATCAAAATTATTTATAAAAAAACAACAAATTAGAATTTTACTTTATAATAAACAAAATATCATAAGTATTTCAATTTTACAGTCTTCTAAGCAACTCTTCAAATGGATACAAATAATATAAAAACAACGGTAAAAATTAAATATAAATTTAAATAATAGCAAATTAAGTCTATAAATATGTCTAATTCATTAACATTTGATTTTAATTATAACTATAACTATAGATATTATATTATGAAAATATTGAGAATAATTGATTACCTTTCAGTTTTTTAAATCATATTAAGAAATCATGTATTTTAAATAGTTAAAAGTACTCAGTTCTCCAAGACATTGACAAGCATTCTCTAAAAAACAAAAAATATTTTACTTAAATAAATCATACATTTATATGTTATGATATACGATATTTTCAAGATATTTTTAAGTGTAAAATAGTAGATGATGTTAGAATACGAAAATGATTAATCATATAAATTATTATAAGGTTAGTTATTATAGGCTAGTTATTAGTTTTATAAACACTAAAAAGTATGGTGTGGTGGTTTCAGTATTAATAATTTTTAATAAAAATATTATAAATTATTTAACAGTTGTAGTATTATACCTTCAGAACAATTACATTCCCATACAACTTCATTTCGAAATACATTTGTTAGTAATCCCTTGAAATTTGTGAATAGTGCTTTAGGTTCAAGCAGCATTGTAGATTCAGAAAATTCAATTACTTCAGCATGAATGACACCAATGAACAGTAGTACTTCAATTTTTTCAGATTTAATGGTTGACCAAGGAGAATAAATTCGTATTATACTATTTTTGGTTACATTTTTGGGACAGTTTTCTAAAGTAACTAACACTTTTTGAACTTTTTTTTCTGTAAAATATTATAAAAATAAACATGATTAATACACAACTGATTTAATGGTTATAAATGTAATTATTTTCAAATCCTTTACCAGAGTTGATATAGTAGCAAAGTAAAACAAAACTTCTAAATTCTTTCCATGCTTCAATTATATTTAACAAAGCAGTTTCACATTCTTTTGGTTGATAACTTTTAGATAAGTTTTTCTCGTACTCTCGAATACAAGCTTCAGATTTTTTACGATTGATAAGATCTCGAAATTTTCCTCGCAATCCATCTTTACTATAATAAAATATTAATAATTTTTTTTTTTAAGATAAAATATTTCTTTGATAATTTAATAATATATGCTCAATTACATACAGCGCCAACGGAAAGTTTAGTTTCATGGGGCCCTAGAATTTATTTTCGTTAAACCAAAAAAAATTTTCTTGGATGCTCTGTTACTCGTATAAAATATTTGTCTGTTTACATAACTTATGAAAAAATTGAAAAAAATCATCAACAATATATTATTGTTTATTAATTTATTATTGTTATACTATTTATACTACAATGTAAGTACCTAAAAATATAATATTATAAGATATTATAAGATTAAAATACCATACTCATGACAAGGGGGACTTGTTATTTAATTTAAAACAAAATAATAGGATTACAAAAAAACATTTTAGGGAAAAAGCCCTAAAATGATAGGACCCTAGACAGCTGCCTTTTCTACCCTGCTCTTTCGCTGGTGCTGATTAATGATATATTTAATACATAATTAAAATTAAAATGGATCAATTTTAATATGAAAATAATATTCATATTCAGTGAAAATAATTAACAATTCTACTGTAGTAAAATAAATGCAGAACTATCAACTATTTGATAGTTAATGATTTTTAATTCCTACAATTTTATTTACAATGACCAAAAATATAATTTTCACTAAGAATTATATAAAAATAATGAAACTAACCCAATTTTTCTACGTTTTTTAGCAGAATCAAAACGATTGGGAGACGGACTATTGTTTGATTTGTTCATACATACTTCCGTTTCAAAAACATTTTCATACTCAGAATCAGCACTGGGCGATTCCATAGTATCAATCTGAAAAATAAATATAATTTAAATAGTTTCTTATCTTCATAATTTAATAGCATTACTTCCTAATACACACTTTAAATTGTTGTTCTAAATCGATGAATGGCTGGGTTGGAGAAGTTACTGGTTCAAATAAACCTGGTAATTGTACAACACACTCTTTACGAGAAGGAGTTTGAACAGACTGAATGAGTACATGATTTATTTTTCTTTGTGGTGTCTTAGGAGACTGATCAACTTCAATCAATGGAACTTTCGAATTTAAAACGATTTCTGGAGAATATTCGATTGCGGGTCTGCCCACATGAACTGCATAGTGTTCTGGAGTGGCAGGAATTACTCTTATTTCAGATGAATGTGTAAATATTTTACATTTATCTTGATCCACATTCAAATCACTTTCTTTATAAGAAGATTCATCCGTTCTAAATTGTTTTTCGAATATCTTCTCAACAAATTTTTTGGAGTTCACAGATGCAGGAACTAAGCGATTTCCCAAATGGAACTTAACATTATCTGTTATATCTAGATTTTTTTGTGGCTCTATATGTTTAGATTCACTTCGAGTATTTTTTCTTCCGAAATCAAATATAGGAGATTTCAATAGATTCTCTGCCTTTAAAAAATCTAAAGAATCAAAATTAATTGTATTCTTAAATTCATTTTTGTTAGTTTTTACTTTTTGTGGAATTCTTTTAACACCATGGCTTTGTAATTTTAAGTCATTTTGTTTATTAAAACATTTTATTTCACTAGTTTCACTCCCATTTTTACAGTTCTTTATTTTGGTATTTTTAATATAACAATGTTTTTCTTTTTTCTTTTTTTCTTTACAAGGAAGATTAATAACTTCAGACGATTCAATAATGTCTTCTGAATCCACGTTATGCATATTCGTATTCTTTAGATTTAGGTGAACATTTAATTCTTCTGATTTTTCAATGACCTTTGTATCAACGAACATATCAGCTTGTAGTATACATTTATTTTTCATATTACATTTTTTATCTATAAAATCATTTTTACTGTCTAAATTTGTGAATCGTTTTTGATTTGATAATATCAAATCTGAAGAATTCGGACAAAGCAAATTTTTTTTGAGAGAATCGATTTTATTTTCAATATGAGGAGATATACCATTCGATTTATCACAAGCCGATTGCGATGTCAATAATTTCTCAGTTTTTACATCATTAATTTGGAATAAACACTTTTTCGAATTAAGATCTTGATTTATCATTAATTTTTTTCGATTTAATGGAAATATTGGAGATTTTGGACATGATAACTTCAATTTTTCAGATGATTTGTAATTTATTTTTACATTTTTATTTATTTTTTTTTTTTCTTGAAATAAACTTCTTTTTACATGTTTATGAGCATGTTCTACGCTATGTTCATTATTACCAATGTCACGTGAAAAATTATAAGATTTAGCTAACTTTTTAACTTTAATAGCACTCTCATTAATATTAATCCCTTTGATGAGTGGTAATGATTTCGAACCGCTTGTACTACTATTTCTACTCCAAATAACTTCTACATTATTACTTAACGAATTATTTTGTTTTTCCATTTTCTTTCCTACAAATATAATTTAAATAAATAAAACAAAATTTGCAATTTGTGCCTATACATAAAAGTTTTTATTCTAATATGATTTTCGGCGAAAATCTTATTAGAATTATTTTTTTTTTTTTTTTTTAGTACCTACGCCAATTGTTACCTTCTATCTAATCATAATAATATAAAACAAAAAATTCTTTGCCATTTGTGTAAAACAATTAGGAAAAACATTAGTTAAATATTTTCAAAAATAATATTAATATTAAAATTATTATTATACATTAAAACCAATTATTGAAGATTAAAAACATAAAATATAAATAATAAATAAATAATAAATATTACTAAAAGAAAAACTTGATTCTTAACTTCATCTTATTACCTATAACATAAAAAATAATGAAAAACGTAGAAAAATAGAAAAAAGTAAAAAATGTAAATGGTTTAACAATAAGTATCAATATGCAATAAAAGAAAGGGATAAAGCGAGATCATTGATACTTACAAGCCCAAACACAAAAAACAATAGAAATTTTGCCTAAAAACTTAAAGAAGCTAAGCATATAATAAGAAGTGATAAACGATTATGGGGAAAAGAACAAGGCTGGGCATTAACGAGTTAAAAATTAAAATTAAGTTAAAACGTTGAGTTAATATTAACTAAGTTAAATAACTCGTTACTTTTTTTTTGAAACTAACTTTTAACATAATAAGTTAAATTTTAAACATATTTAACGTGTTAACTTCAAGTTAATTTTATATATATATTTATATTTCTTAAAATTAAATTATATTTAAAATTTTAAATAAACCATTGATTTTTTTTTCATTGTTGGCTTGAGAAATAATAATGTCATAACAATTAAATGAGAAAATGTATAATTAATACCGGTTGTTTGATATTATATACCTACACAATATAATATATATATATATAGGTAATAGGTAGATAACCTGTATCCAGGTAAAAGGTACCCACCCGCATGTAATAATAACTAAGTACCTAACTATAACTATTATTTTTTTTAAAGTAATAAATTTGTGTTTATTGATGTTGAATGTTGATGTCTATACAATATTACAATATACATACAGTATATACTATATACTATATACTATTCACTATTTAGTATTTAGTACTATACGTCTATACACAATACACATTATGAATACGAGTTATATGATATTGGGTATTACTATATATTTGTATATTTTATACAATTAAAATTATATGAATATCATTTTCATAATAATAGTGAAAAAGGACATTAAACATATAAATTGATATACGTTTAGGTAATAATAATATTATAATAGTAATCATATTATGAAGTCGTCGCGACTTCGCGTTCGTGTACTTAATTAGTTTTCTTGTAAACCATAACTGATTATACCTAGTGACACGCACACGCCACACATCCCGAGAAACACGTTATTTTGTTATGTTGTTATGCGTTTGTGTATGCTATATACTAGTGTTTCTTAACTTGTGTTCCGCGGAACCCTAGAGTTCCACGAAAGTGCTGTACTGTGCTTTTATGAAAATATTAAAAATAGAAAAAAGCTCGAATTCTAGAGGTAGCTAGTGGGAAAACCCGTTAGACGTGCACAATATTGTATAAACTATAAGATATTATTATATTGTTATATAAGAGTCAATTACAGTTCATTTTTTTTTTAATGAGTTTTAATGATGACAATAAGGGTAACGACGAAGACATGACAGTATCGAATAATTATTTATGACCGCATGTTATCGTATATTATTATATAATATACCAATATTGCACTTCAGTACGTAGTCGTCCGTTAACCGTTGTTCGTCGTCAGTTGAGTGTGGCAATTTATTAAAATATGAGTAAACAAAAGAAGTTGGATTTCTTTTTAAAAAATCCAAATACTAGTGTAATTACTACTACTGAGGAACTAACGCCATCAACGAGTTATGTCACATCTTCGTTGGAACCAAAACAGAAGAAACCGAAAATTCGTAAATACGATCCCTCATACCTAGCAATCGGATTTACATATAAAGATGATTGCCCTCGATGCGTTATTTGCTCAGAAATGTTAACTAATAGTTCTATGGCTCCAGCAAAACTTTTCAGACATTTGGAAACAAAACACTAGCAGTATAAGGGTAAGTCAATCGATTTTTTTTAAAGAAAAGAAAGTGAATTGAAAGCTCAGAAGACACTAATTCGAAATACTGGAACTGAAAATGAGTTAGCCCTTAAAGCGTCATTTTTGATACCACTTCGCATTGCAAAATTAAAAAAAAATGTTACCATAGGAGAAGACTTAATTATGCCTTGTATGGTCGATACCAACCTAACATTTTTTGGAGATAAAGCTGCTAAAAAAATAAAAACAATGACTCTTTCTAATGATACAGTTTCAAATGGCATAACTATGATGAGCGATGATGTTCATCAGCAACTTATAAGAAAAATAAAAAGGTCAAAGCTCTATGCTCTTCAATTAGATGAGTCGACTGACATTACTGATAAAGCACTGCTAAAGCTACTTATTTATATTCGGTATATGGACTGGGACGAAAAAGAAATCAAAGAAGAATTTTTGAACTGCTTGGAACTGAAGAAACATACAACTGGCGCTGAAATTTTTTCTGTATTGTCCAATTGTTTCTTAAGTACAGATTTAAAGATGTCAGACTGTATCTTAACTTGTACCGATGGCACGGCTAATATGACTGGTAGGCATGCAGGACTAGTCGCAAAAATGAAACAAGTCGCTCCAAATATACAAAGCACACGTTGTATGATACACCGAGAAATACTAACAAGTAAAAGAATGAGTGTCGAGTTTAATCAAGTACTAACAACAGCTGTCAAAGCGGTAAATTTTATTAAGTCCAGCTCTCTTAATTCAGGACTGTTTACAATGTTTTGTGATGAAATGGGATCCACATATAGAACGCTATTATTGCATGCGGAAGTTCGCTGGCTTTCGAGAGGTCGGATATTAAAAAGACTGTGAGAACTTGGAAAAGAAATAATAATATTTTTATCAAGCAAAAATTGTGACCTGGTTCAGTATTTCAGAGATATAGATTGGAACATAAAATTATGTTATCTTGCAGACATATTTCAACTTTTGAATGAGCTAAAACTGTCTCTTCAAGGAACACAGAAAACCATATTTCACAGTTACAGTAAAATAGAAGGGCAAAAGAAAAAATTTAAGCTGTGGATCACAAGAATTGAAAACAACTGTTTTGAAATTTTCAGCACCTTTATGGAGTTCATGAGCGGGGTGAACAAGAATAATGAAGATTACAATATTATAATAATATAATAATATTGTCGCTTAAATTTGAAGAGTATTTCCCTTCAAATCAAGACCCAAGAGATGGTTTCTTATGGATTTTAGATCCATTCAGTGCCAATAGCTCAACAAATACTCTATCTACGAATAAAGATGATATTGTCTCTTATTATGCTGATAGTGTTTATATCTTCATATTGATACCAGGATACTTATCCCAACTGATGTCAGATGTGTAGCAGCTGATAGTAAGGCTTGTATAGTTTGTGCATTTATATTATTTTAACTCCCCCCTTCATTAATGGGTGGGATAGAGTTGGATAAATCGTCAACTGCCCATCTTAAATCCTCAGTAAATACTGCTCAGCATACTACATGGTTGGCCACATGAGCTTGCCACAAATTCCAAATTTGTCATTCATTTTATTGGTTTTGGTTACAGATTCGAAAATAAATACATTTTTAATTAATTTAATTTTTTTATCCATTAATTTTTAACTTAACGAAGTTATTAAAAATACATTAATTAAATTTTAACATAACTTACTTTTTTTATATTAACTTAACTTAACGAGTTAAAAAAACCGTTAACTTGCCCAGTCATGGAAAAGAAAGAATAAAACAGATTGAAAATAATAGGACAAACCCGAGACTCTTCTTCAAACAAAAAAAAAATAATTAAAAACGGGAACAAAGATAGTGAAAGATGAAAACGAAGCACTTGTAACAGGAGAAGAAATTATAAAACAATTTGGGAAAATTTTTGAGGAATTTCTCAACCCACAAACGCACCAAACCAAGACCATACTCAAATTGAGTACAATACAGCAGAACCTGAAGACATAGAACCAACGAAAGAGGGAATTAGAATAACTATAAACACACTTAAAAACAATAAATCACCCGGTAAAGATGGCTTAGCCTGCAGAATTCATAAAATATGGTGGTGAAGAATTAATAAGAGAAGTAGTGACATTAATCAGAGATGTGTGGCATAAAGAGGAAATACCAAAGAATTACAACTAGCAATAATTTGTCCAATATATAAAAAAGGAGATATATCAAGCTACCAAAATTACTGAGGAATATCGCAGCTGTATACAATGTACAAGTATTATCAGGTCTCGTACTAAATATAATAAAACCTTACACAAAAAAATATCATTGGAGACTACCAATGTAGTTTTATGAGTGATAAATCTACTATAGATCACATTTTCACTATTAAACAGTTAGTTGAAAAGCATTATGAATTCGACCATGGGCGTAACTTGGAAATATATTGGGGGGAGGGAACATATAATTACATATCCAACAAAAAGGGTATCCGCGGCCAGGGTTGGACTAGCTCTATAGCTCTGCCCGCGCAAAATAATTTCGAACGACCTCAGTGGAACTTTATAAGTAGGTAGGTACCTAATCAAATTATTGTTTAACTGAAAATGTATCTTCATAACTCAAAAAACAATATACACACAAGTATATTTGAATATTTTCAAATTTAATATTATACCATAAATAAATGCCCCGGTGCCCCGATGGCCTAGTCCAACCCTGTCCGCGGCTAAATGCCACTTTACTACCTACATATTATTATACAAAATTATTCATTTTCTAACATTATGTTAGATAAGCGAAAATTGAAAATTAAAATTAAAAAAAAATTATAAAGTAGTAACTATAACCAGCTGTTTTGTACTTATTTTAAAACAAGGTATGTTAAACATCAG